ATTAATATGACAACTTGGAATAATTACTTGAGTAATAAACATTTCTTTAAGGGCTCAACATTCTAAAATTTTGACAATATAACAAATATCCTCTCAGTTTATAGTTATAATGATACAAAGATAAATAATTTGGAAATGGTCTTCAACATGCGTAGGCTACCATTTGTAAGAATAACAGTGGCAAAAAAGGCCAACAAATGCCGGTTTAGAAAGAAAAAAACTGCAGACATGCTTCCAATTTTAGCAACTCTAGTGGATAAAACATACCTTACCTCTCAAGTCAGGAAATAGTCAAATGGAAAAATGTACTTCTTCTAAGTAGTAGAGATGAAGTCATAAGGATCATGATTCAAGTATTCGGAGAAACATGGTTGGTCTCCCTGTATGATGCGAACTCGTCACCTCTACCAAAGTGGTCATGCATAGTATGTAATGTAGAGTGCAATAAAATAAATGATATGAGAATTTACCATGACCACAAAATATCCTACATTCATCATCATCATAATCAACATGCATTTTTTGCTTCTCTTGTATGTGGTCCAAGTTTTCTATCAGGAAAACATGTTAACTCAACTGTAGATAAGGACGGTATAAAAATGCTCATGTAAAATTACAATTGCCATGTATCTGCTAGACAAACACATACACTTATGCAAACTTCAAGTTTTTTTTGTAAAACTTATGTGAACTTTAGTTTTTTTCACTAAAACTTATGCAAACTTCTGATTTTTTTTCAATGGAACATAATTTCATGACTGCAAGTAAGGTCTTGATTTAGCGAATTTGTCTGTGAGTTCACTGTGTAGTCGTTAGTTGGCCATGTAATAACTGGTAGTCAATACTTAGAAAAACAGGGATGTCTGTTGCAGGTACGCGAAAATCAGTGAAAAAATAAATAAAGAAAGAAGGCATTGGTTGCCTGAAACCCAACTGTGTGTGCTCCAGCGCGCCTCTGTTTCTCATTGCCTCATCTCTAGTTCCTGTACTTCTAGATGTGTCACCACCGGCGAGGTAGGGACGACAGTAAAACAACAAGACTCGATACTTGCCTGATTAGTGCATGCGTGTGGCGCGTTCACGTGAAGGCGAGCGTCTCCGGCGTTCAGGCCTGCGAGCGGCCGCGGTGACCGTGTCCTCTCACCAGTTGGGCGGCGTTGTCGACGCAGGTGAACCAGTCGTCCAGCTTTGAGGCGGCAGCCTCCCCGCACCGGGGCGTGGGGTGTTCTAGCGTCCGACGAAGGTGGGATGTCTTTGGACAACGTCGTCCACACATGAGTACTGGACAAGCGTGTCCAATGGAGCAGCACGCGTCAGAGCTCAGGGAGTCGGCGATGGCTTCCGGTGAGTGACATGGGGCCGTGATTAGCTTCACCTGCTACACAGTGGCCGAGACCTACGTCGCCCTGGGGACGACGATGGTTGGCGACCAGGAGAATCTACATGTATGGCTGTGGGGGCGAATGCCCCCACTCGATTTTTTGGCCCGCTTATACTGGTCTAGGATACTCAGTGTTGCCCCCACTTGAAGGGTGTTGACGGTGGGTGCTTGCCAGCGTGGGTGTTGTGGACGAAGCTGAAGTCAACGCGGATGCCAGTGGTTCCCGGAGAGCATGCCAGGACATGGACAAAGTTGTTGCAGTCAGTAGAAAAGTGATCTGGCCTCCAGGCAGAAGACGAAAGCGGCGACGACACGTGTGTGTGTTCGGAGGAAGCCACAACTCCTCCTCGTGTGTCTCCCACCGTGGCTCGCGTGGGTGGTGTGCTGGTGACGGCAGGCGACTCGCGATCGCGATTCCCTGATAGGAGACGATAGGATGCGCTCGCGATTAGTTTCCTAATAATTAGATCCGTTCGTGATTAGTTATCTAATAGGATGCATCCGTCATTAATTTACTAATAATTAGATGCATTCGTGATTAATTTCCTAATAGGATCCACGCATGATTATTTTCCTAATCATAGGATGCGCCCGTGATTCGTTTCCTAATAATAGGATGCGTTCGTGATTAGTTTCCTAATAATTAGATGCGTCAGTGATTAGTTTCTTAATAGGATGTGTCCGTGATTACAGTTTCCTAATTGACCAGTCGTGGATTTTCATATTTTTTCTTCACGGTGGAGTACAGTCAGTCAATATAAATTGCTAAGTGCACACAGAGAATAGATTAGGTTAAGCCTAACCGTTAGATTGAATTTAGTAGGACTAATCATGCGGTGGTAATGTATCCGTGTACGTTCTGTGGAGTGCACTTAGAAAAGATAATGTTTGCTCTTTTATAAGTAGTATAGATAATTAGATCTGTTCATGATTAGTTATCTAATAGGATGCATCCATCATTAATTTACTATAATTAGATGCATTCGTGATTAATTTCCTAATAGGATGCACGCATGATTATTTTCCTAATCATAGGATGCGCCCGTGATTCGTTTCCTAATAATGGGATGCGTTCGTGATTAGTTTCCTAATAATTAGATGCGCGAGTTATTAGTTTCTTAATAGGTGTGTTCGTGATTACAGTTTCCTAATTGATCAGGCATGGACTTTCATATTTTCCTTTACGATGGAGTACGGTCAGTTAATGTAAATTGCTAAGTGCACACAGAGAATAGATTAAGTTAAGCCTAGCCGTTAGATTGAGTTTAGTGAGACTAATCATGCGGTGGTAATGTATCCGTGTACGTTCTATGGGGTGTACTTAGAAAAGATAATATTTGCTCTTTTATAAGTATATAGATCATAGGATGCGCCCGTGATTCGTTTCCTAATAATAGGATGCGTTCGTGATTAGTTTCCTAATAATTAGATGCGCCAGTGATTAGTTTTTTAATAGGATGTGCCCGTGATTACAGTTTCCTATTTGACCAGGCGCGGACTTTCATATTTTCCTTCACGGTGGAGTACGGTCAGTCAATGTAAATTGCTAAGTGCACACAGAGAATAGATTAGGTTAAGCCTAGCCGTTAGATTGAGTTTAGTGGGACTAATCATGCGGTGGTAATGTATCCGTGTACGTTCTGTGGGGTGCACTTAGAAAAGATAATGTTTGCTCTTTTATAAGTAGTATAGATAATTAGATCTGTTCGTGATTAGTTATCTAATAGGATGCATCCGTCATTAATTTACTAATAATTAGATGCATTCGTGGTTAATTTCCTAATAGGATGCACGCATGACTATTTTCCTAATCATAGGATGCGCCCGTGATTCGTTTCCTAATAATAGGATGCGTTCGTGATTAGTTTCCTAATAATTAGATGCGCCAGTTATTAGTTTCTTAATAGGTGTGTCCGTGATTACAGTTTTTTAATTGACCAGGTGTGGACTTTCATATTTTCCTTCACGGTGGAGTACGACCAGTCAATGTAAATTGCTAAGTGCACACAGAGAATAGATTAAGTTAAGCCTAGCCGTTAGATTGATTTTAGTGGGACTAATCATGCAGTGGTAATGTATCCGTGTACGTTCTATGGGGTGTACTTAGAAAAGATAATGTTTGCTCTTTTATAAGTAATATAGATAATATAGATATAGATACTCCTGCTCCAGTTGTACACGAAGGAAGCTTCGTCGATCGATTCCGACGCCCTGCCCGCGAAATCGCCGGCTTTAATCACGCTGCAGGTTGCACCCTACCACGCTAACACGACGGACTAGATCTGACCTCCCGACCCGTCGGTCGATCAATCACCCACTCGGTGGCTCGGAGACTCGCCAGCGTCCAGTCTCCGGATCCATCGAGATCCGCCAACAGCCGTAACGAGAGGGACGCACACATGCATTCGTCTAATCGGAAAGAAACCCAGACTGATGGATCGAAGTCCTGCCGGTGTCCGGGCGGCTCGTCGTCCGCGACGGCCTCGTCTGCTTTGTCGGGTGCCGTCTTGCCATACTGGTACCGCCGCGAGCCTGCGGACTGGTCTGTGGACTCATGCATGGAGGATGGCGGCAAGTCGGCAGAGCCGCGGAATAGGTCGCCCCCACGGCGCTGCGACGGTTTTCTTTGTCCTGTCGCCTCTGGCGGGGCTCGGCGGAGGGGCCGGCCCGGAACGGCGTCTTGCGCCGGTGGCGGCCATGCTGCCAATCAGACGGGGTGTCAAGTACCTCGAAGTAAAATATAGTGTACTAGTCTCTGTTACTGCATCGGCGATCAATGATTGGAGGAATGGAACTGTTGCCGGGGGGTCCTGCCTGATGTGACGTGACGCATGAGATTGAGAGGTGCCCATGTTGGATTTGGTACCATCTTTCAAGACTACAGGACTAGATTATCTTGTACTCCTAGTATACTGTAATATGCTTATTACTGATAATCCCACGCGACAGCCAACGTCTCTGCACTTGCACTTATTTTAAGCGATTTCCTCAAGTACGGAACTGCTCTAGCCGGCCGAGAGTGAAAGCGGCGGAGCGACGGTGAGATCCGCCGTGGGCTGCACCCTGCAGATGGAACGGATATCAGCAGTGTCATGGGAACACAGGAGGATGTCACACCAAGAGATGCTGTTGCTATGCCGCGCCATCAGGCCATTGTGGGTGCCTCGTTGGACTGGATCCATCACGCCGATGCTCTTTGATGTGAGCGACGCCCTGGAGGCCTGAGCACGACCACGCACGGAAGTTCGGCGACGACGAGGGCGTCCGGCCAACGCAAACCCTGCACATCCCCAGTTGTGAGAAGATTCGATCATTCATTCGAGGCATTATATCCTGTTCTTTCCAACGACTTGCTCCGTCGCGTACGACGCAGGCCGACCACCCACGGATTTTGTATAGGGAATGTTGTTTTCCCCGGGCCGGGCCGGGCAGTTGCCACAGGTCCGGCAACAGGCGCGCGACGACGTGTCCCGCGTCCACACCGTACCAACGCCGCTCCCGCTGCCGCCCGCCCACGCTTCGCTGCTTTTCTCCACACGCCACGCCGGCCGTCCTGCCCATCCTCTGCTCTCTATCTCACTTCCTCTCTCTCAGCCTCTCTCCGCCAAGATCGTGCTCAATGGCATCAGCGGTAGGGGGCGGCATTGACGGAGCAGCGGGGACGACCAAGAAGAAGAAGAGAATCTCCGACTGCCTCGTCGACAGCGACGGCGGAGACGAGGTGGCGGTGGACGCCGCCATGCCGCCCTCGCCGCCTTCCCCCGGGACGCCGCGGCTGCGCATCCCGATGTTCACCTGCGCGCGGCTCCGGTTCGTCAGGCTCGGCAGGAAAGGCGGCGGCGGGCGGAAGGATCAGGTCGCCGCCGAGAAGAGCGAGGCCGCGTCGACCGACTCCTCAGGTGCGTGCGCTTGTTGGTGGTTTCAGCTTCATATTTCATTACAGCTAGCCTCTTTTTGCTGAATCTCTGAAAATTTTGCGTGTCATTGCGTCGTCGCGTACGTGCAGCAGCAGGATGGAAAGCGGCGACCAGCGGTGCGTCATCGACGGAAGCGGCCGGCATGGGGCTGAGCCTGCTGTTCCTCCTCGCCAAGACCTGCGTCGAGCTAAACAAGATGGCCGAGGTGCGCGCGGAGATGGAGGGGCTCCTACGGGAGATGAGGGACCAGCTGGTGGTCAGGACGACGAAGGTCGCCACGACGACTGATTCGCCGTGCCAGTGCCACGCTTCGTCCAGTACGCGCACGGACGGCCAAGGCGCCGGCGCCACCTCTTCATCTTCTCCCGAACCGGCGCGTCGCCGCCATTTCCGTCGTGATAGGCGTGCTGGACGGAAACGAAGAGACGGGCCGTTCTACGCGCTGACAGGAAACCCGCTGTTCGACCTCGACCGAGAGCCGTGTGGCCATGCTGCCGCCTCCTCGTCTGCCATGGAGACCGCGAGCGGCGCGAGCGAGACGTCGTCTGAAGTGGAGAACCCTACGAGCTCGATGGCCGTGGATGTCGCTGGGGCGCAGTTGCAGCTCAACTGCCGCACCGAGCAAGGAACACCCGAGGTTTGAATGATTGCTTCCTCTCATGAATACATCGAGTTCTGCACTTTTGCTCATGATGTTGCGTAGCAGTTAACTAAAAGCAAATAATTGCGTGTTGTTTTCTATTTGTGTTCTTCTGAGTGCAGTCGTCGGACGGGGAGTCGTTCATCGAGCTGGACGGGGGATTCGGAGCTGGAGCCGGGAGAGGCGGCTACAGTGCGAGGCGAAGGCGAGATTCAGAGGATGGACACGAGGAGGAGGAGCGCGGTGACGAGGGAGTGCCGGCAGTGGAGCTGGAGAGGCGGCTGCAGGAGCTCCTGCACCGGAGGAGCCGGGAGCGGATCGAGGAGCTGGAGGCGTCGCTGAGGCGCGCGGAGAGAAAGGTCATGGAGAAGGAGATGGAGGCGCGGCTGTGGAAGGACACCGCGAAGCTGGCGCTGCAGCCGGGCACGCGCGGCGGTACGGGGCAGTGATCAATATCGACCGTACGTAGTACGTACCTCGTGCGACAGTGAGTAGTGAATCCGGTGCATTTCCGAATCTAGGCGAGTGCCCGAACGTGCTCTGTACATGCTGCACACGTGCACGGGTAAACGGGAAAAGCTTAGGTCCAGCTGACTCCTGGCTGATGATGTATATACTTGGTGCTGGCGTGTATACTGCAGAAAGATCTTTTAAAGAACTTTTTGTTTAGTTCAGCTAAGTGCTGATCGACAGTTACTTTTTTTTACTTTAGCTTATGTGATGTGACATAATGTGTATCACTGGAGACATGTTGGGTTTGCAAGTCTTATTATCATGCCTAACTTTAGTCATGCCACAACATGTTATGCAGATGTTTGGTTCATTGTCACACACGTGGGTTGCCAGACTTTTGTAGCCATATGGTTTACATATCATAGGCTTAGTTTTGCCAAATCTTGTAGCATTTATGATGGTCATTTTGTCAGTCACATTTTGGGTGGCAGCCGCGGGTTGACTAAGGTTTGTTGTGGCAAGATTAGTCCCAGTTGCTATGTAGCTTGTGCGTTTTTTTTTCTTCTAGTCGAGGTGCATGGACAGGAGACACATGCATATCTCCTCACCCAAGCAACATAATATACTCGAAATTACCAAATTTTTATGTCTTGTGCAGATTACCGGGTGGAAGGGCAAGAACTTAGCATGGCCGGGAAGGGTCTCCTTGGCGAAGTCTGTCTTGTGCGCTATTGCCACCCACCACCTCACTGCGCTCCCCCTTCCGGCTTGGGCAAATCACAAGCTTAGCAAGATTTCTCGTAACTTCATCTGGTGCGGTGACAATTTCAAAAATGCGACTGGGGGCCACTCCCTGGTAAACTGGAAGACGATGTGCAGGCCTAAGGCCCTGGGTGGGCTCGGGATCACGGAACTTGAAAGGTTTGGTAGAGCTCTCCGTCTGCGCTGGCCCTGGCTCATGTGGACCGACCCTGACCGGCAGTGGGCGAGCTCCGCCCTACCTTGCGACGAGGAGGACATGGCGCTGTTCAGGGCATCCACCACCATCGTGCTGGGTAACGACCGAAATCTTTGTTCTGGCATGACGACTGGACGGATAAGGGCCCTTTGTGATTGCTAGCCCCCGGGCTCTTCAATATCGCCACCAGAAAGCAGAGATCTGTGACGAAGGAGCTTCAGGATGAGAACTGGATCAAATCAGTCGCCCGTTTGGACACACCCGCACAGCTGCAGGAGTTCATTACGCTTACATCTCTAACCTTGCAGACCATGCTGACCCCAGACTGTGAGGACTCCATCTCTTGGCATTGGACCCCAGACGGTGAATGGTGATCCAGGAGACACGATTTGCAACTGCAAAGGTCTGAGGCAGGGGGACCTCATCTCCCCTATGCTCTTCATTCTTACCATGGAGCCTCTACAGAGGATGTTTGAGGTGGCTGCCAGTAGAGGTGTGCTGGCGCCTCTTGCACGTGAGGGCATGACGAAGCGTCTATCCATCTTTGCGGATGACGTAGTCCTTTTTGTCAAGCCGAAGCCCGTGGATCTGGATGTGTGCAAGTGCATTCTGGAGTTATTTGGGGAGGCTGCTGGGCTGAAAATTAATATGAGCAAATCAACAGCTCTAGCAATAAGGTGTGCCGATGAGGAGATAGCAACGACATGCAATGCCCTTTAGTGCCCCTTGGGATCCTTCCCAATAAAGTATCTAGGGCTGCCATTATCGCTGAGGAAGCAATCTGCAACGCAGTTACAATATTTGGTGGATCACATGGCAAATAGACTACAGAGGTGGAAAGCAGCACTAATGCCAAAGAGTGGCCGTCTTACCCTAGTGCAATCTGTGTTGTGTGCCATGCCTATCCATGCAATGATGGAGCTGGATCTACCTATGAAAAATATCGCGACGATGAATAAGATTTGCCGAGGGTTCTTGTTGTGCAGAAGGGTAGAAGCAAACAATGGTAACTGCGCGGTTGCATGGGACATGGTATGCACGCCCAAATGGGCAGGTGGCTTGGGGCTTCCCAATCTTAGATGGATGAATGTGGCCATGCAGGCTCGCTGGCCGTGGTTAAAAAGAACTGATGGGACAAGGCCGTGGAGTGAATTCAAGATCAAGGTTGTCGAGGAAGTAACCTTGTTGTGTAAAGCAGCCATGAGGTCTATAGTGCATTCTGGTCGGACAACATTCTTTTGGGAGGACCGATGGCTGGATGGGCGAAGAGTCCAGGAGATTGCACCTAGAGTGTATGAGTTGATTGCACCACAGATACGAGGAAGGAGGTTAGTTTGTGAAGCTATGGAGAACGGGTCTTGGGCAGCGGACCTTGGCCCCAACCTTGGACCGGATACGTTGCATGAGTTCTTTGCACTTTGGCAAGACGTTTCTGCTTGGGAAGCCAGTGGGGATTTGCTGGATGAAATTGCATGGTCATGGGAGGCGAAGGGACACGTCTCGGTCCGATCGGCTTATGCGGCTGCATTTTGCGGAAGGGAGGTCATTCCTACGGCAGATCTAACATGGAAGTCGCGTGCCCCCATGCAGTGCAGATTCTTTACTTGGCTAGCAATAAAGGACCGATGCTGGACTTCGGATCGCCTAGCACGAAGGGGTCTACCTCACCAGGATGTGTGCTCGTTCTGTGATCAAGATGAGGAAACGATCAATCACATAATGCTTACGTGTGTCTTCGCTCGGACTGCTTGGGCGGCCATCTGTGGTTCGCTGGGCAAACCAGAATGGACACTCTCACCTAATGATGTGTTGGCTGACTGGGCCATTGACAAAAAGGGAGTAAACAATGTGGGCACAAAAGATCTACGCACCGTTTTCGCGCTTGTTTGGTGGGAGTTGTGGAAGTACCGGAATGCGATTGTTTTTGATGGAGCTCGGCCATCTATCGTTCAGCTGTTGCAAATAGTGAGTGAGGAGGGTGTAGTCTAGTCCTCTGCAGGTCTACTAAAAGGGAATGTAACTCCCTTCTTTAGTAGGGTAGAGAGGTGGGTGAGTGGTGAGGATTAGCATGCAATAGAAATCATGTAACAAATGGTGGAGGCACTCTTTGCCTTTCTTCTTTAATATATTATATGCACACTCGTGCATATTCGAGAAAAAAATATACATGCATAGAATTCATTTTTCTAAATACATATATACACATGTACATACGTATATATCATTATGAAGGGAGAGAAGAGGGTATTTAAACCCATAATTATAATTCATTTATGGCTAGTAATCATCACAGAATACATCTAAATATTTGTATCATTCCGATAAATTAAAAGTGGCATACTAAATATTCAAAATATTCCTACAGAAGGCACATCACTTTGTACACGAATTGGGGATCACCCTCTTGTAAAGGCGCCACATGAAAATTCCACTATTCCTTCTTAGAATTTTTTTGTTTGCGAAAATGAATGAATTAATGACATTGCTATTACACTTCAAGAAGAAAGAGAAAAAAAACAAATAAAGACAAAATTGCAAAGAACTTACACATAAATTGCGCTTTTTTCTAGTATGCAAGAATAAGCATATAATAGTAAAATATATAATATGCAAGAGTAAGCATTAAATAGTGGAATTTTCATAAATAAAGTTCTTAAGATGGAATGAATGAATGACATACACGTTATCTTAAAGGAAAAAAAGTAAATTTAGCGAAAAGTAAAAGAAAATAAAAACATTGAAATTTTCTAAAAAAGAATTAGTGACATTGCTATTACATTTTAAGAAGAAAGGAAATAAAAAATAACAAAAATTGCACACAATTTACACATAAATTACATTTTTTTCTAATATGCAAGAATAAGCATATAATAGTGAAATATTCGCAATAAAGGAAATTTCATAACAAATGATGAATTAGTGGCACTTGAGTTACAATTAAATAAGAAATAAAGTAAAAGAAAACTAAATGAAAAATAAAATAATGAAGTTTTCTATGAAAGAATTAATTAGAGCTTTGGTATTACCCTTTAAGAAGAAATAAAATGAAACAAAAACTAAATAAAAAACAAAGTAATGAAGTTTTCTAAGAAATAATGAATTTGTGGCATTGGTATTACCATTTAAGAAGAAAGGAAACAAAAAAAGAAACTTGCACATAATTTACACAGAAATTGCACTTTTTATAATATGCAAAAAGTACATAATAGTAGAATTCTCACTAGAAGGGAAGTTTCCCAAGAAGGAATGAATTAGTGACATTGGTATTACCAATAAAGAAGAAATAAAATGAAACAAAAACTAAATCAAAAACAGAATAATTAAGGTTTGTAAGAAAGAACAAATTAGTGGTTTTGGTATTACTCTTTCAGAAGAAAGAAAAGAAGTAACTACTAAAGTGAAATCACAAAATCAAAATAATAATGTTTTTCTAAAAAACAATGTATTAGTGGCATTAGTATTAACCATAAAGACAAAAGAGAAATGCAGAGGAAATAATGACACACAATTAACATAGAAATTGCATTTTCTACAAAATGAAAGAGTAAGCATTCCATAGTTGAATTTTCATAAAAAATGTTTTCTAAGATGGAAGGAATGAATGTTATACACATTACCCTTAAAGAAGAAAGTAAATTTAACAAAAAAGCAAAAGAAAATAAAAACAATGAGTTTTCTAAAAAAGAACTAATGGCATTGCTATTACACTTTAGGAAGAAAAAAAATTAAAAAAACAAATAATGACAAAAATTGCACACAATTTACACATAAATTACTCTTTCTTCTTATATGCAACAATAAGCATATAATAGTGAAATATTGGTCATAAAGGAAATTTCCCAAGAAAGAATGAATTAATGGCACTTGTGTTACAATTACATAAGAAATGAAATGAAACTAAAACTAAATGAAAAACAAAATAGTGATTTTTTTCTAAGAAAGAATGAGTTAGAGGCCTTAGTAATACCTTAGGAAGAAAGAAAATAAAATAAAACTAAATTGAAATCAAAATAATGAAGTTTTATAAGAAAGAATGAA